GTTAATAAAGATGAACGCGAGGTTCGACTGAAGTACGAACGCGAGGTTCGACTAAAGCACGAATGCGAGGTTCGTCTGAAGCACGAACGCGAGGTTCGTCTGAAGCACGAACGCGAGGTTCGTCTGAAGCACGAACGCGAGTTTCGTCTGAAATGAACGCGAGGTTCAACTTAAGTTGAGCGCGAGGCTCACTTGAGAACTGAACGCGAGGTTCACCTTAGAACGAACGCGAGGTTCGTTAAAATTGAGCTTGACGCTCACCTGAGTTGAACGTGAGGTTCACCTTAGAACGAACGCGAGGTTCGTTAAAATTGAGCTTGACGCTCACCTGATTTGAACGCGAGGTTCGTTAAAATTGAGCTTGACGCTCACCTAATTTGAACGCGAGGTTCACCTTAGAACGAACGCGAGGTTCGTTGAGCGCGAAGCTCGGTTAAAATTGAACGAACGCGAGGTTCGTTTGAAGCTTACAGCTTCGCCAAAATTTGAGGTAACCACCTCCTTAATGTTCGCCACGTTTCACGCACGCACGAACCCTTTTTCAAATTGAAACCGCCGCCGACAAACCCAAAAATCTTTGATTTTTATTTTGAAAACAGATCCAGAATTGGAACAAATTGAAGAAAAAAACAAAGAAAAATCCAAAAAATTCCAAAAAGTTACTGTTCACCGACCGATGTTTCAGTTACTGCTCATCCGGAAAAAACCCAATAAAACTTAAATCCCTAAGAATTAATCAAGGTGTCTCTGATACCACTTGTTAGATCTGAATTATAAAACTTGAGATCTAAAACCATATAGCCATGATTAATTCAAAGAGATTAACAATAATCAAAAGAGCGGAAGCTTATACCTGAATCCATGGATGAACCTTGAGATGAGTTTTGGATCTTCTAACCTTAGGGTTTCTCTAAATCCGAATTTCTCTAGCTAGATGGGGGTGTAGAGAATTAGAGAATGTAACCCTAGGTTAGGGACCATAACCCCTTATTTATAGATGTTGTACTTTTGTAATTTAGCCCCTCAATAAATTACAATTACAACCTGGTATCTGCACATATGACCCCATGATCCCCGTAAGGAGCAGCAGTACGATACGACGTTCTAATGTAGACGACGCTAATAACAGGGATGCCGACAATGACGATAACGAGGAGTGAGTGAGACTTGTTCTTATATGTATGTAGTTTTAGATTGTGTTAAGACATGTTACCACTTTTGAATTTTATCTACATGTATTATATTTGTAATTTTATTGCTTAGTGAATGAATATTGTTTGAGCATGCGAGATGTGTTATGATTGTGATTATTGGATGAATATTATTTCATATTGTGGATTGGTGGATGATGGATGAGTATTCATTTGGAATGTGAATGTATCTAATGGTTGATTTTATGATATATTGTTAAATATTGCATTGGATTGATGTGGATACATGTTATATGTGTATTCATGTCTGGGAGGCTACCAGAAATTATAATTTTTTTACGTGCATATGTACATTAGCGACGGGGAAATCCATCGCCAATAAATCCGTCACTAATGCTTATTGGCGACGGATTGCCCCGTCGCCAATAAGCATTGGCGACATGTTGCCCCGTCGCCAATGTTTTAAACATTAGCGACATATTGTCCCGTCGCCAATAATTATTGGCGACGGGTGACAACCTGTCACCAAAGATTTTCATCTCCAATGTTCATCTGTCGCCAATGCGTATTGGTGACGGGTTTCCCCGTCGCTAATACTTATTGGCGACGGATCCTATACCATCGCCAATGTGTATTGATGACGGATTTTAGGGAATTTGTGACGGATTTCTCTGTCGCCAATACGCAGTTTTTTACTAGTGTGTGTGTGTGTAGAGAGAGAGAGAGAGAGAGAGAGAGAGAGAGAGAGCGAAACTCTTGTCAACTTAAGTTGATAAGAGCCATTATCCACCAAAGTTTTTAACCGTTGGATTAAGTTTTAAGATCAAGATCTTCTTTAGATGATGTTGCATGAATTAATTGCAGGAGGGGTATTTTCGGAAAAAACAACTTCACACAAAATAGTAAACAAAAAAGAGGAAATCTCTCCTTTTTATTCTCCAGCAAAAAACTGGATCTTCTTTGCGTCTACAATAAATCGGAAAACCAACTCCACACAAAACTGGATCTTCTTTGCATCTACAATAAATCGGAAAACCAACTCCACACAAAACTGATACCACTTTGCATCTACAATAAATCGGAAAACCAACTCCACACAAAACTGGATCTTCTTTGCATCTACAATAAATCGGAAAACCAACTCCACACAAAACTGGATCTTCTTTGCATCTACAATAAATCGGAAAACCAACTCCACACAAAACTGATACCA